TTGAAACAGGAAGAAAAATCGGTCTACAAATCAAGAAATATCAAAGCCTCTCTAAAAACATGGATATGCATGACCATATAAAAGGCCTCACCATCTTAGTCTTCGTATCTTCGATTAATCATATTTTTAATTTACACCCTTTAATGGCGAGCCTATGGTGTAATGCTTACCATGGTTGATGTTTTATTGGATTTGCTAGCTCGTATCGTATTCTGACTTGATCTTAACGATATAAGTGCCATGCCAGAATATGAGAAGATTGGTTTCTTTGGCAATCGGTGATCATGGCTGACTAATTAAACTGATTGCTAATGGTCTAGTAAGAAAAGTACGCTGCTAAAATTGTTCTGGGAGAGGCAAATTACTTCGACCATTTTGAGTGGCAGACTTAAATCAAATTATTTATAGGCTTACTTGGTTTGTCTTACAACTTATATTAATTATTATTAACTATATGTTCATTTTCTAACCTCTCCATTAGTATAATCATATGTGAGAAACTATTTTGTAAGCAATCTTTAAGGGGTTATTAAGCTATAGCTCTCCTATTTCTCACTTTAGCCTGAAGTCGCATCTCTGCGACATCTCTCATATCCTGATGCACATGTTATACTGCTTTGCTTCTCTGTCGTCCATCCCGAGACATTCCGTGCCTTGCGATCACGCTGGCTGGCAGAGTTGTCTGGTCGTCTACTCCTAAATGATGCCGCTACACACACTGCTGCCACCGATGGTTTCACGTATGCTGGTAACAGGCTTGCTGAGTCTGTGTCTCACAGAATAATTGATGGCATGATGAATACCGGCAGTCCCGCATTTGGGACACCTTATCACTCAAGCACAGGTAAACTTTCAGCTCGCGACAATGGGACCAGGGCCTTGCTGCCCGTCACTGGTATTTCAACAAGGCAGTACAGGAGGCAAATTAAGCTAAATCGTAGCAATCAGACTTCAAAGAATAAACAATCGCGAGGCGCTTGCATTACCCATAAAAATTATCATATTGATAAACACGATCCTTCCACTTCGTCTTCGGAACCCACTTCTTTTTTCGCCTCGTTGCACAGACCTGACGGCCCGCCTGGACCAGCTTTCTTATTGATCGGTTGTGCCTGTGACTTGCGACACGACATTGGCTGTCTTCTTGAGCTGTCGGTACGTGGTGAAGTGCCTGTTGATGAGAGAATCGCTGAACGCCTGGCTCTGCAGTTGGGAGCAGAGGCCTACATTGAGTGCTCTGCTTTGACGCAAAAAAACCTCAAGCGTGTCTTCGATTTGGCTATTTGGTGTAGCCTGAAGGTGCATGACGCTGGTGGTCCAGGAAGGCCCCCGTCGCCGACTCAATCATTTCATATGGCTCAGCTCCCCACCCCTATATTTGGTCCAAAAAGTAAACCAGCCGCTTGCCATAAGTCGACTCATGCATTCTCGCCTCCACCGAAATTATTTTGTTCTGGGATCTGGCAGATGGGCAGACAATCTCGACGGCGTTCCAACAAACAGAACTGCAATACTCAGTCACTGACTGACTTTGACAATAAACAGCTTAGTAGTGGCGCCAACTCTAATGTCCTCTTTACCCATAGTAGGCCCAACGCCTCATCGACTCAATGCCTTGATAATGCCACATCTGAGCGGTTTATACAATCACCTCATTTGTGCGATCATCCACAATCCATCGGATCCCGAGAAATTAACCACGAAAGGTCTGGACAAAAATCGGTTTGGCGAAGGTTTTTATGCGTTTCTTAACACCGAGTCTCCTTATGCGCATGATTTGTCCAGCCTCATGTTTGCTTCATCTGATGTATACCTATATCTTTTTCAACCCATCCATCCAGTCCTTCAGTCCTTTTATACCTGATTATTTCTCCTATAAATGAAATATTCATATTTGTTACGCTTAATGTAGATGGCCTCATACTCCTTATTCTGCTGATATATATATATATATATATTTAAAACTCAGTTATTCATTAGCTCACCTGCGTACAGTATCAGTTGAAATCGTCTCCCAGCAAGTATTTAAATGCGTCGCCTCTTTAATCATGATTGTTTCACATTTATTCCATTAAATGTGTCATATATCCTTTCTGTTATTTGGGTCGCTTTGTGCTCTTTCATTTTCGGAATGGTACGATATAATTGGGCTCTGTAATCTACGCTTAACTTGTATCCGTTGTACATTGTATTTACTCACTTTTTACAAATTGATCTTTCAATATCCTATCGTTCTCCAGCCACTACCTAGCATGCGCCGTTTTTATCTAACTTGTAAATCTTGTTAGGTCCCGATTTGGTGATTTTATTCGCATACACACGCACATATATATTTTTATTTGTTTATTTGTTTATTTATTTGCTTCTTTAACTTTATCGCAAAGCCTTTACCATAACTTCTTTTCTCTTCGTCTTATGCTAAACTGTGTTAGCCACTTTTCTTATTGCTATGTTTTCACTTGATTTAAATGGCTTATTCCCCTTGCTTCGGCCACTTCCTGCCATCAGCATTTGTCATATTTCCTCTTACTAGTTTTTATTCTCTTAAAAACTCCTTCGTTAACATTTCTGAGTCTGGCTTTGTCCATGCAATAATATCCAAGTGGGTGCATGGATTTCTAGTCTATGCTTACTTGTACAGCTATTGACATGTAATCCCGCAGTGTCAGCTGTTACCGAGATATGCATATATAAACCTAAAAAATATATTTATCATTATCTGCATAAAATAAGTAAATCATATTTATTCTTAAAAATTTAGATAGGGGGTCAAGGTACTGACGTAAATGTTTAATCAAGTCAGGCCTCATTATATTTATAGTAGGATTGTCAATAGGGCCAACTTGTATTTTGTATTTGCAATAGATGACCCTACTTATATTCATTGTTAGTAGGTTAGAGATTACCTGTAGATCTTGAATAGAAAATGTATTCACCCTAGGATTAATAATTGAATTTTTCAATGATTTGATTAGAATTAACGATACCATTTAATCTCACTTAGCCTTGCTTAATAAAATGTATCCGTATTCTGGGTAACTATGAGACCTAGATAAGGTCGAAACTTCAGTCCATTTTGAATAAATATACCTACTGGGGAGCAAGTCTAAATAAAATTCAATGGCATCGGGAGATATTTTGGCTATTCATCCTCCATCCCCTTATATGACCTATAGTGAATACAGTCCTTATTCAACACAACCTTGTTCTCTGACTGCCCATTTTTTAAACACTTAATAATAATAATTCTTGCTCTAGATCGACTTTCCTCTCCAGTCGTCATTACGATAAGTCGTGACATGACTTTCCACTTCAAAGAAAAAGTTGGTTGGAAGGGATTGATGATGTGGTTCCACCAGAAACCGAAGGAAGATCGCCGCGTAGAGAAGCCTGTAGTATTCTATGAAGAAGTCCTCGGCTCACCGTCCGGCGACCTCGAACCTGTGCTAAGCTCTCGATTGTATTATGACATTCATCATCAGAACAAGAATCCGTACTTTACGAAATAGAGTAAAATATACTAAACCAAAAGAAAAGGTGACTGGCTACCACCCTAGTCGCTTTTTTATGCACCTAACTTAGAGATCTTAATGATGCATCTCATGTTTTGGTTGGCTACCTCAACCTTACTCTGCATTCTTGCAGATGGGCGAAACTACTTCACAAACTAGAAGTGTGTTCTTTGGAAGTCGTTACGTTACACAAATAAACTACTGTACGATTCTTTAATGT